CGAGGAGCAGAACAGCAACATCAAGGCCGAGCTTGCGAACGCAAACGACCTGCTGCGCAAGAGCAAGGTGGTGGAGGAGGACCCGGCCAGCATGCTGTCGCCATCCGCCGCCGTGGCCAGCACCGCGCTCAAGGAGGGCATGTCACTCACGGAGATGTGGACCGAGCTCGTCAACACGCGCAAGGCGCTCATGGTTGAGCGGCAGGAGGTGACGCGCCTGGAGGAGTTCCTGCAGCAGATTCTGCAGGACGTGGAGGCCAAGGCGCCGCTGTTCCAACGGCAAAAGGCGGAGCTGGAGCAGTGCGAGCTGGCCAAGCGGCAGCTGACAGCGAGCCTGGAGGAGAGCCACCGGGAGTACGAGCAGCTGGAGACCGCATGGCGCAAGGAGCAGTCCCGCGCAACGCGGCTGCAGAGCGTGAACCAGCGCATGGAGGGCACCGTGGCAGACCTGTCTGCGCAGATCCAGCAGCTGCTTGCGCGCATCACGGAGCTGAGCGGCGGGACGGTGACCACAGAGCCGCTCGCCGCAGAGGACGCGGCGCAGCAGAGCATGGACTCGCTCAACGCAGACCTGGTCGCCGTGGACAGCATCCGCACCCTGCAGGAGCAGAACGTCAAGCTCATGCTCAAGGTGCGCGAGCTGAGCGACCAGAACACGCAGGAGGCCGAGCGGGCGCGGGCAGCAGCAAACGAGGAGCTGGAGAAGCAGCTGCAGGATGCGCTGGAAAACCTGCAGGAGCTGCGCCAGGCCCGCGAGCGCCACCAGCACACGGTCGACGCCCTCACCAAGCAGCGCGACATGTTCAAGGCGCTGTACTCGGAGGCGTGCCTTGCTGTGGGCAAGGACCCGGAAACCACCACCCGCCTCATCATGTCGCCCTCTCAACAGCAGCGACAGCAACAGCAGCAGCGGCAACAGCAACAGCAGCGCACACCATCGCACGCGTCTGTGCCGACGACACCCGCGGGCACAGGCGGTGCTGGCTCGAGCATGCTGCACACGCCGCCATCGCGCGGCGCAGACAACAGCCGGCTGCTGCGGGAGTTGCAGGCTGACTTTGAGGCGTACAGGAAGGAACGGCAGGAGACGGACCGCATGCTCAACGAGGAGCTGGAGAAGGCGCGGCAGCAGGCCTCCGACGCCCGCATGGAGAACGCAAAGCTCAGCGCCCACAACGACTACCTCGGCGACCGGTACAAGGACCTTGAGTCCTCTGTCAATGCGCTGCGGGCGGAGAACAAGCGGCTGCTGGACAAGTCGACGCAGTCGGCCAATCTGCTTGTTGAGGCGCAGACGAAGCTGCAGGCGGCCCAAACGCGCGCCGCAGAGGCAGAGGACAACCTGCGCCGCCTCCAGGTGCATCCATTTGTCTTTGTTTGCTCGCGTGCTTGGCCTTGTCTCGTTGCGCTATCCTCCATGCCTGCGCTCACGCTGCAACAACCCCCATCTCCCTGCTTGTGTACTGCGCTGTGCAGATCCAACACGACTCGATGAAGGAGCGGGTGTCAATGCTTGAGGGCAGCGAGGCGCGTCTGCGCCAGGAGAACGACTACCTGCTGGCCGAGCGGAAGAGCCAAAACACGCTCCTCAAGAGCCTGCAGATGCTGCAGCAGGAAATGAAGCGCTCGGAGGAAGACTTGAAGCGAAGGTGCTGCTCGCGTGGTGTATGACATGTACTCTCTGAGTGCTGGGTCAGGTGCATGCGCAGACACTTTGCATGTTTCGCGTGTCCGTTTTGCTTTGGCGGGACGAGCTGCTGTGTTGTGTGCAACAATAGCATTGCGTGGTGCGGGTGTGCAAGCCAATGGTTTCACCTTCAGTATCTCACCTGAAATCGATGTGGTTTTTTCTCCGTTTTGTTCCGATAGCTTTTCGTCGAAGAACGAGCAGCTTGAGCAGGAGAACACGCTTGCGAAGAAGCAGCTGGAGGAAGTGCGACAGCAGCACAGCGCCAGCATTGCCCGCGTCAACGCTGAGCTTGAGCAGGCGCGCCAGGCCATCTCCAACGAGAAGACCGCCCACCAAGCCACACGCGAGGAGCTGGTATGGATCCGTGTGTGTGCGTGCGTGTGCGTGTGTGTGTGCGTGCGTTTAAGTTTGGCGTGTAGTGCTTGAGTGCAACTGCGCGCGTGCTTGCTGTGTAACCAAGACCCGCACTCTTCCTTTCCCCCACGCATTATATGCAGATCTCAGTCAAGGGCCAGCTGGAGGCGATGGAGAAGGAGCTGCAATCGAAGCAGAAGCAGCTCGAAAACGCCGAGAGCAGGCTCGACCTCATGCTGGGTAAGTACAACCAATGCGAGGGAGGGAGGCCAAGGGTGGGACACAGACAAAGACAAAGACACACACACACATACAGACACAGACACACACACACAGACACAGACACAGACACAGTGCGTCAGTGTGACTGTGCGTGTGAGAGGTGAAGGGTAGCAAGTAGGCAACTGGGTGCTTGCAAACGTGTTGTGCTGTGCATACTTTGCGAAGCACCTCCAAGTCACACCAAAGATAACCTGCGACGGGTGCAGCCGGGCAAGCAAAGGAAGCGCAGGACGACAGCAGCGACAAGACGCTCTCCGAACAGCTCAAGGCGACGATGGACCAGCTGAAGCAGGCGCAAGCCGAGCTAAAGGCCGCCAACGAATCCGTTGCCCAGTACAAGGCCATCAGCGCCGCAAGCGAGGCAGCCTACAAGGACCTCTCAGATAACACCGAGCAGCTCAAGAAGGAGGTGCGCGCCCGTGTATGTGTGTGTGTGTGTGTGACGAAATTGTGGCTGTACTCATGTGCTCCCTTGCTTGTTTGCTTGTTTGTGTGTGTGTGTGTGTGTGTGTGTGTGTGTGTGTGTGTGTGTGTGCATGCATATGACCATGTCGCTCATGCCATCTCCCCTCGAATTGTACGTTCCATGCACTCACCCATGAAAATGTAAACGTGCGTGCAGATGACTGCCCGCCAAACGAAATATGAGGCCGACGTCAAGACACTGCAGGCCGAGGTAAACACGAACACCGCCACTGCGTGCCGCATGTCATTGCTCAGCATACTCATTTGTTTTTCTGTAGCAAGATGTGCAGCTGTTGTCGTTCCCACGACACCAGTTACACCTTACGCCTTTGTTGCGCGTGCGATGTGACACAGATTGAGGAGCATGAAAGGCGCAATGCAGAGCTGCATGAGAAGCTGGAGCAGGTTGAACAGGACCTGCTCACTGCGCGCAAGGAGAGCACGCTCAAGCTGTCTGAGGCTGAGGCCAAGCTTGCAGCGGCAGAGAAGGCCGAGGCAGACGCCCGCAGCCACGAGGCTGAGGCCGTCGCTCACTCAAAGAAACAGCAAGAGTACGTGTTTGCACACAGACACACACACACACACACACACACGCACGCACAGACACACTTGTTCATTGCTGTTGGTCGCGGTTGGTAGGTATGATGGTTGTTCTCGTTGCTCGTGTTGGTTGCCACTTCTCCATGCCTTACACATGCCCTTGTTTGATGACATGCCTCCCTCAGGCTGCTCAAGGAAGCATCGCAAAAGTACGAGGTGGAGATGCTCAACCATGCAAAGGATGTGGACGAGCTTCGCCGCGTCCGTGCCCAGCTCGAGGAAACACAGCAGCAGGTGTGTGCATGTCTGTAGGGATCTGTGCGGGTTGTTTATGCTCTCTTGTGCCTTTATTCTGCTGTCATTCCCAAATGCTCATCTCGTTTTGACTTGGGCTGTTCGTTGTCCCTGTCTGCTCGAGTAGCATGCCAATGTCAAGGCTGAGCTTGAAACGGCCAAGGGTGAGGCCGCGACTGCAAAGGCCGCCCTTGAGGAGCAGCGCAAGCACTTGAGTACGTGTTCCGTACTTGCCTCCTGCCCTGTGCCAACGGCTATTTGGCGCCAATTGTTGCGCGCTCGTGTGCTTTGCGCCAGATCATGCCTTCTTGTTTTCCTAACCATGCCTTCTCACTGCTTACGCCCACAGCTGAGGACATTGAGCGCTTGACAACGCGCCTGCAGGACACGGAGGCGCAGAACAAGACGCTCCACTCGCACATTGACGAGATGAACGCCAAGCTCACGTCCCTCCAGCACTCCCGCCTCAGCGCCGATGACTCGGTGCGCTTGCTTCTCGCCCCCGTGGACTAGACACGCGAGTGCGAGTGCGAGTGCGAGTGCGCCGTAACCTTCCACTTGAGTTTGTGTCCCATCAACACTTTACCAACACATACACGCGCACGCGCGCGAGAACTCACAAACTCACAACTGATGCTGCCAATCAATCACATGAAACGTCCATCATTGCCCAACACACACACACACGTGCACACACACACGTGCACACACACACGTGCACGTACACACGTACACACATGCATGCGCTGGTGTGGGGTTGTGAACAGATTGCCGGTAAGGAGGAGGCTGCGTCTGCGTCGGGCGACTCTGCTTCATCGCAGGAGCTGTGGGACATTGTGCGGCACCACCGCAACCGCGCGGAGATCTTCGAGACAGAGTGCGAGCAGCTGAAGCTCGAGATCAACCGCCTCACGCAGCAGATTGGGCACCTGCAGAAGCAGCTGGCACAGACCAGGGAGCAGCTGAATGCACAGCGCGAGCGCAGCAACGAACAAGCTCTCACCGCAGCACAGCACCGCGAGCTCATGGAGAAGGTGTGTGTGCGTGTGTGTGTGTGTGCGGAAATGCTTGGTTCGGGTGCTCTGCTTGTGAACTGATTTTTCCAAGCCACTGTTGCTGCTGCTCTGCTGCCAACCGTTTATTGCAACTGCTGATCGCTGGCGTGCGTGCGATGCATAGGTGGAGAAGCTGAACCTGTTGGAGGACAGCAACAAGTTGCTGCGCGAGCAGCTCAACGAGTCCGACCAGAAGCGCCAGGAGTCGGAGAAGAAGTACGTGCATGACGTGTGCTCCCTTCCTACTTGCATTCTTCCCTTGAAACATACACATACACAAACACACGCACATACACACACGCGCACGCGCGCACACACGCACACGCATATGCACATGCACACACGCGCGCGTTTGGTTTGCACCGTTGTCAACACCACTCACACCAACCGACGCCACCTGGCGATGAGTGCAGGCTGCTGCAGGCCGAGCTCCGCCTCAATCCGCTGCAGAAGCGCGTGCAAGAGCTGGAGCGGGAGGCCGTCGTGCTGCGCGAGGAAAAGCGAAACGCCGAAAAGTCCGAGCAGACGTGCGTTCACCTCTCTGTGTGTTTCATGCGTGTGGCACGTGTGTGTTTTTTCGTGTCATGTGTGAGTATTTGTGCTGTGTTTCTGTGGCTTCTTCTTCTCATTGCTGTTGTTGGCATGCTATCCTCCGTACCCTTGCCTTGTGGCTCAACGCCGACTCCCTTCCCCCTTTTCCTGATTTCTGCACACCAGCTGCCAGCGCCGTATCCAGGCTATCCTCAACATGTACAACTCCGTTGACCCAGAGGTGAGCCCACGCGCACATGCGAGTGCATGTGCCCTTGCCGCACATGTGCCCCTCTTCATTAATTGCCTGCGATCGCCATTGTCGACGCACGTAGCGCGAGACGTGTACGTTGCCCAGTCTCGTGGCTGGCGCTCACCTCACGTGTGGTGGTGCACGCACATGATGATTCGACAGCAAATCAAGTCGCTGCAGGAGAAGGAGACCATGTGGGAGTCGACTCGTGCTCTTCTCGAGCAAGAAATCAGAGACCTCAAGGCCGAGCAGGTGACAATCACGGCACCCTTGCGCGCTGATGCTGTTGATCCACACATTGACGCACGCACGCACGCACGCCACGACTTGAATGTCAGCGCGCGCACTCATCACCATGTCACCCTGCCTTTCTGGCTCCCTTCCTTGCACTGTAGACGAAGAAAGAGGAAGAGCACAAGGCTGAGACAGCGGCCATTCAGGAGAAATACGACAAGCTCCTGGTGTGGCCCTTGGATGGTGTCTCCTTGCTGACTGCTATAATTTGCTTGTGTGTGAAATGCAACACATGCGTGCCTGTGTGAAAAAACATGGCGAGAACAGCTGGCACACGCACATGTCCGCGTGTTCGTGCGCTCGCTCGTTTCCTCTTCTGCATCAAACTGTCGTCCCACTCACGCGCGCTGGTCTTCGCCGCTGCCTGTGCTCTTTATCATGCTGTGCCCGGCAGGAGCAATTCCGGCGACTGCAGTCGGTGTCGCGGCGCATCCGCCAGGAGCAGCAGGCCAACACCAAGGAGAAGGAGGCCCTGCAGGCGAAGGTTGCGGCCGCAGAGCAGCGGCTGGCGCAGACCAAGGAGACACTTGAGGCCGACCTTGCAAAGGCGCGGGAGGAACTCGAGGTCTCTCGCAAGGCCACGGCCGACGCCATCAAGGAGGCAGACAGTGGCGCCCGCTGGCAGCAGGTACATTTACTCTCTGTGTGTGCGTTTGCTTGTCTCTGTGTGTGCGTTTGCTTGTCTCTGTGTGTGCGTTTGCTTGTGTCTACCTGTGTGTGTGTCTGTGTCGATGTGTCTGTGTCTGTGTCGATGTGTCTGTGTCTGTGTGCGCGCGCTTGCTTGTGTGTGTGTGTGTTCGTATTCCTTGCCACACCTTACCACATCGCATTGCCCTGCTCGTCCCCTCCCTTCTCCTCTCCTCTCCTCTCCTCTCCTCTCCCCACAGCTTCGTGGCAGATTCAGCCAGGTACCGTAGAACGCACATGTGCTGTGAGCCAGCTGTAAGGCGCTGCGTCGACATGTTTTTCAAGCAGCGCACGCTCTGCATTGGCTTCTCACATGATACATACACACACATTGGCACACACACACATTGGCACACACACACATTGGCACACGCACGCACTCCCGTCTGACAGCTGGCGACAAAGGCAAAGACGCTGGCCAGCGAGCGCACCAAGTTTAAGGAGGCGGCAGACACGGCGCAGGCGCAGGTGCAGGAGCTGACGGAGAAGCTCAAGACCTCCCAGGAGGCAGTGGCAAAGGCAGAGACGCGCGCAAGGTTTGCTTGCTCGGTTGCGTGCTGTCTGTGCTGTGCTGTGCTGTGCGTTGTGTTGTGTTCTTCACTTGGCTGCATTGTGGTATTTGTAACCCGCATGCTTTGAAGGCTGCTTTGAATTATCCTCTGTGCACACTGCCTCGCTTTTTCTGTACGCTCACCAACCCCCATGCTGCCTGCTTGGTGTGGTTGTGTTTCGACAGGATGCTTCAGCGTCAGGTGGAGCAGCTGAAGAAGCAGCTTGCAGCCAGCACTGCGCCATCCACAGCGCCAGCAACGCCAGCGGCACCGGCACCGGCAACAACGGCGCCCGCCACCCCTGCTACGACTGGTGCCGCCGCTGCTGCTGCTGCTGCGCGTCGCCGCAAGTCGAGTGCGAGTGCGAGTGCAAAGGCGTCGGCGGTGGGCACACCGGCTGCCGGCACAGCAGCTGCGAAGAAGCGCCGCGCCTCATCAACCGGGGAAGATGCAAGCGCAGCTGCAGGCACAGGTGGTGTTGCTGCCAAGCAAGCCAAGCTCAAGCAGGCCCCAACGCCAACAACAGCAGCCGCAGCACAGCCACGCCCAGTTCGCAAGGTACACAAGGAGCGCGTTTATGTGTGTGTGTGTGTGTGTGTGTGTGTGTTGCACGCGTGTAGGATTTATCACAGTCACCTGCCTTTCCTGTAGTTTGAGCCAAGTCTGTGCAAGAGCTAACGTGGCGGCGTGTCTGTTTTGTTAGGCTTCCGAGGTGCACGTTGATACGCCAATGCCAAAGCGCGCACAGCAAGGTTTGTGTGCGTGTGCAAGTTTATGTCAAGTCCTGGCTGCTTTTTCTCTGTCGTCATGTATTTACTTTGCCTCTCACGAAGCACATACACGTGCACGCTCACGACACACACACACACACGCACACGACACACACACACACACACGCATGCTCACGACCTGCACATACGCATGCTCACGTACTCTGTTGATCTCATTGTGTGCATGTGCGTGAGCAGGAAAACGGGCCAAGCCCACAAAGCCCGTGGCGATGCCGTCGTTTGAGGAAGAGGGCGCGGGTGAACTTGCTGCCAAGAAGAGCAAGCTCGCAGCGGCACTTGCCCGCGAGAAGGCCGCAGCCGCAAAGGCAAAGGAGGAAGAGTCAAAGAAGGAAGAGGCACACAAGGAACAAGCTGCTAAGCAACCCTCGCCCCAAGCTGAGGAGGAAGAGGTGTGTCTGTGTGTCTGTGTGTCTGTGTGTTGTAGGCTGTGTGTATGTTGTAGGCTGTGTGTGTGTTGTATGTTGCGTGATTTCATGTGTGTACTTGCCGTTGAACTTGCTCATGTGAACTTTGATGTGTGCACATTGCCAGGTTGTGAAGATGGGCGAGGACGTGGTGACCGTGGAAGAGGAGGAGTCGGCCGCGCCACCAGCTGCTGCTGAGGAAGAAGCAGAGGAGCAGCCCGAGCCGACCACGCCTGTTGTTGAGGAAGTGGCGGCGAGCGAGGGCGTGCCAGAGGCCGCGCCCGCAGCGCAAGAGGAGGAACCCGAGGTGGAGGAGGTTGAATCTGCTGAGGAGGGCGAAGCAGAGCAGCCGGCAGAGGCAGCTGCTCCAGCTCTCGAGGAGGTGGAAGAGGTGGAAACAGGGGAGCAGGCCCAGCCCGAGGAGGAGAAGGAAGCAGAGGCAACTGCGGAGGCAGGGGAGGAGGTGACAGAGGAAGCGGAGGGTGCAGCAGTTGCGCAGGAGGAGGAGGAACAGGAAGAACAAGAAGAGGAAAGCGAAGACCAGCAGGGCGCGATGATGGCAGGCGAACTTGAGGCTCTGGAAGAGGAAGCAGAGGAGGAAGAAGAGCACGAGCCGTCGCTTGCGGAGGAGCTGGCCGAGGCGGCAGGGGAGGAGGCCATGGAGGGAGCGCTGCACGACCAGCAGGACGCCGCGACAGCGGGTGCTGCCGAGCAAGAACAGGAGCAGCAGGACGAGGGCGAAGAGGAGACAGCGGCAGGTGAGGAGCAACAGGAGGAGGGCGAGGGTGTGGTGGAAGAAGGCGCAGAGGACGAAACAGCGCCAGCAGCGGACGGAGAAGCAGTTGAGCAAGAGGAGGATGAGGAAGAGGGTGAGGCCGAGCCGCAGATGGCAGAGGGCGAGGAGCCAGCAGAGGAAGCGGGCGAAGCGATGGATGAGGGCGACGAGGAGGCCGCAGGCGTGGCTGAAGACGAAGAAGAGGAAGCAGGTGGCCAAGAGGAGGCGGAGACTGGTATGCCTGAGGACGAGGGTGAAGACGACACGGAAGGTGCCGCCGTCACAGAGGAAGGCGGAGAGGCAGGGCAGGACTACCCCGAGGAAGAGGGAGAGGGCGAGGAGCAAGGCGGCGAGGAGGAGGAGGAGGAAGCAGGGATGGGCATGGAGGAGGAAGAGGACGAAGGTGCTGGTGAGGAAGACGAAGCGATGGAGGAAGGTGAGACCGCTGAGGAAGGTGAGGCAGGCGCACAAGAAGCGCAAGAGCCTGAGGAGGGACTCACAGATGTCCTCGACATTGAAGAGCAGGTGTGTGCATTTGCTGCTTGCTTGCTTGCTTGCTTGCTTGCTTGCTTGCTTGCTTGCTTGCTTGCTTGCTTGCTTGCTTGCTTGCTTGCTTGCTTGTTTGCTTGCTTGCTTGCTTGTTTGGGTTTTATGCTACGCTCTGTTCCAGTGCTCAACAAGCTGACGTCCTGCTTGCATGTGCGCTGCGGATTGTATTTACTGAATGTGCAGCATGATTTTGGCGAGGACGAAGGCGGTGATGATGATGCCTCAGCAACAGGCACCGCTGGTGACAATGATGACGGCGACGACAATGATGACGATGCTGGCGACGATGCAACACAAGAAGGCGAGGGTGAGGAGGGTGCTGGTGATGGCGACAACGGTGACGATGATGATGATAACGACGCAACAGATGGAGCGGCGAGTGCAGCCGCCACCACACCTGCCAAGACAACCAGTGCCACGCCAGCGACGCCAGCAACAACCGGAAGAAGTACAAACCATGGCTGTTTGTTTGTTTGTTTGTTTGTTTGCTTTGCTTTGCTTGCGTGTTTGTTTGTTTGTTTGCTTTGCTTTGCTTGCGTGTTTGTTTGTTTGTTTGTTTGTTTGTTTGTTTGTTTGTTTGTTTGTTGTTTGTTTGTTTGTTTGTTTGTTTGTTTGTTTGTTTGTTTGTTTGTTTGTTTGTTTGTTTGTTTGTTTGTTTGTTTGCCCGTCTCTGTGCAAGACAAGCTTGCACAATTTGGTTGTGATTACATGCCACATCTTGCCCTCCCCCTTCCCTGCCCCACTTCCGTGCTCATCTGGAGCTGCTACTTGCGTGCTTGCTCATCTTGTCCTGCAGCGTACCGAGTTCGCAACCCGATTGTGATGACGCCCCAACCAGAGCAGCAGCAGCGCCCGTCGTCTGCACCGGCCGGGGTGGGTGACTGACGCATTGCTCATCGTTTTGCATGGGTCAAGCCCTCTACCTGCTACTGCTGCTGCTTGTTGCTGTAGCACCGTGTGCCATGTGTCGCTGCCATGGCTGTGCCCCCCTCTTTCCTTTCTTCCCTTGTTCCGTCACAGACCATCTCTCACCCCACCTTCTCCATACTTTCTTGCCTCCCCTTGCCTCCCTCCTTTTTGTGTTGCATCAGGCCCAGCGCGGGAGTCGTGGCCGCGGGCGCGGTGGCCGGGCCGGTCGCCGTGGACACGGCCGTCGCTTCAAGCGCCGCGGACAGGGGTGAGGCATGGATGCAGTGGTGGTGGTAGTGGTGGTGGCAGTGGTGGCGGCGGTGATTGATGAGTTACTCTTTTGGTTGTTGTTCTTGTGGTTATTCTTGTACTTGTTTTTGTTGCTGTGTAAGTCGCCACAATGCGGTTCTCTGGTTGCTTCCACTGAATTTCCACTCCTCACACACACACACACACACGCACACACACACACACACACACACACACACACACACACACACACACACACACACACACACACACACACACACACACACACACACACACACCCTCCAGTCGCCAGTGAACTTGAGTGAAGACGGGAGAAACCTTGTGTATGGTTGTTGTGTGTGGTTATGTTTGAGCATTTCGTGGTGCCTCCTTGTTGGATACGTCAACTTCAGTTAGTCGTATGGTGTTCCCACACCCTGTGTGTTTGTTGCTTACGTTTACTCGCCAGTTCAATACACAACAACAAGCACAAGGTGGAAAAATGACACATCCATCCGAGCAAACGACACGGCACACACACACACACACACACACAAACAACACAAACAACACACACACACACACACACACACACACACACACACACACACACACACACACACACACACACACACACACACACACACACACACACACACACACACACAAACAACACACGGGGCACGTGTGTTGGAATCTTCACAGAAACCGACCAATTCCATACACATATGCCAGCACTCACATCATACACAATCGAACAAACAAAGATGGCAAGGGGCCGAAGCAAGGGAAAGGGTGAGTGTGAACAAACTAAGTGACACGAGGGTAGGGTTGTGGTTGTTGGTGGATTTAGTAGTCTTGCTGGTTGTTGGGGGACTCTGAGCTGTGTTGTGGGTTCTGCTTCTTCCAGAGCTCGATGCAACCGGGGCAAATGTGGTGGCGCATGCACAGCTCGCCGCAATGCTTGCACTTCTGGTAGTGGGACTTGTTCTTCAGGTATTTTGTTGTCATGCGCATGCGCTTCTTGCTGTGTGATGTGCGGCGCTTGGGCACGGCCATGAGGACGATGGAAGTGCCAAACACGGAGAGCGGGTTGCTGGTGTCGCCACTGCTGTGTTCCGCCACGAGGCCCTCACTGTCTTGTGCCTGGTGAGTGCCCCACAAGGAAAGGCCCGGTGCTGCACATGGTGCAAGCTGTGGCGCCAGTGGAGGCATGGTTGGTGGCTGGAAAAAGCTGGCCACCACGCTGCGCAGTGACCGCAAGTGCTGTCGCACCAAGCCTCCCACGTTGCTGCTCATCGCCGTCGTGTGTGTGTGTGTGTGTGTGTGTGTGTGTGTGTGGTGGATGTAGAGAAATGGTAATGATTTACACAAATTCTCGCGACCACAGCAACGACCAAAAAGGATGACGAGCCGAAAACCGAAAACGAGTGTGAGTGGGGATGTTGGGGATCGTGTGCGCTTGTATGTGTGAGAGTGCTTGTATGTTTGGATGTGTGAGTGCATGCCTGGTTGTATCTCTGTCTCTCTATCTCTCTGTCTGTCTCTCCCTCTGTTTGACTCTCTGTCTGTCTGTCTCTGTGTCTCTCTGTCTATCTGTCTTTTTTGCGAGTGCTGGTTGGTTGTATGTCTGCACGAGTTTGCGTCTGTTGTGCAGATGTCGTTGCGATCTCATGCATGCTTCTTGTCTGCTTGTGGTTGCACTGCAGGCGTTGGACAAGAAGGTGCCACGCAACCCAAAGTTCAAGAATGTGCGTAGCCGCATCGACACTGGTAGCTCCATGAGCAAGCATCAAGAGCGTGTGGACTACGTCAAGAAGCGTACGTAACCACCACCTGTTGTTGGCCAGCAGTGGGAATGCCTGACAGAGACAGGGAGATCGTGCCTGCATCTGTGTGTCTGTATGACTTTACGTGCGTGTTGGTCCTTCCCCAACATACACGCATACAACCAAAAGCCCGTACACCTTACACCATCCTCTGTGTGCAGACTTCAAGTACCGCAAGGATGAGATCTTCCGCCGCATCAAGGCAACCACCCTCGTTCAGCTGGTACGCACATATCTTCGAAGCGGATGGACGCGCGTTGCGGAGCACCACTTCCACTACTGTGCTGCCCCTGCTGTGCTGCCCCTGCTGTGCTGCCCCTGCTGTGTTACCCCTTCACACCCTCAATTCCGCACGCGTGCATCTTTGTGTGACCATGTTTGTCGTGCTTCACTTGCGTGTGATTGCGCGACGACGCCCACGCAGATCGTTGAAGTGGAAGAATCCAAACTGCAGCAAGACGTGGACGAGGACGATTTGGATGAAGCAGGTATGCAGATGCATGTCATTCCAACGCCTTGTGCTCTCCCAAGTTGACGCGCCCTTGTTTTCTCACTTGCTTTCTCGTTCAGATTGTTGCTGATGGCGTGGATGGCGCAGATGCGCGACTTGTGGCAGCGACTTGACACAACTGTTGTGTTTGACCGCGCGCTCTCTCTCTCTCTCTCTCGCCTCAAAACACGCGGCGCGGCACATTCACCCCCGTTGCTTGCTTATTGCTTTATTGCTCGTGCGTGTGCAGCGACGTTTCAGCCGCAGCCACCGACCGGCTTTCAGGAGCCCGTCGGACAGCCGCCAATGCCAGGTGCTGCCGATGTCAATGCTCGTGTGCTGCGCCTTTCCCACTTTGACTCTCCTCGAGTGCTTTTTCGCTCTGCCTCCGCTGCACTTGTTTCAACACATGCTGACGTGTGCATTGCGTGTGTCACCTCTGGCGTGGACGCTTTGCATGTGCCACTCCGTATCATCTCTTCCACAGCATCCAGACCGGACACATCCGCGGCCCAGAGCAACGCCACCATGAACAGCACTGCATCGTCGTTCCTCAGGTTGCACCATGTGACCGTGTGTGGGGGAAGACGGAAATAGCTGTTTATCTGTCTATCTGTTTGTGTACAGTTGTTGGCCTTGCTCGTTCAGGCATGGGCCACCTGATTCGTTTGTTCTCCATCCGCGCATATCCTTTTCCCCATTCACTGCAACCCGCGCTTCTGTTGATCAAACTCTCACATGCCCATGACTCACGCGTGTACATCAGCGTCATCACGGGGGTTGGCGAGCTGCAACAAGCCGAGCGCACGACCCGCCGGCCCGTTGACACCAGCAGACCATATCTGATCATCGACGCTCGCTCATCAGACGACTACGAAGCCTGTCACGTCGTGGGAGGTGTGTGGGGCCTGTGTTTGTGTGTTTGTCTGTGTATGTGCGCGGGGGGGGCTGTGTATGTGCGTGTGGGGGGTGTCTGTCTGTCTGTCCGTCCGTCTGTGTGTGTGTGTGTGTGTGTGTCTGTCTGTCTGTCTGTCTGTCTGTCTATCTGTCTGCCTGTCTCTGTTGCATGTATGTCTGTGACTTCCGTCGCTTACTCCTCCCTTCCCTTCCCTCCCTCGTTCAAGCTTCCCCTCCCTCTTTCAACCCGCTTGTCGTGCAATTTACCCCGCTCCGTCCCTCACCCGCCGTCACCACCTTACCTGTTGTGTGAAGCGAAATCGTTTCCCTACACGCGGCTGTCCCGCGCAACAAACATGCTCACGCCGGAACTCCTTGCATACAAGAACAAGGCAAGCATCAAGCAGCGGCATGCGCTGTTCCCCCTTGTCAGCACTGCATCCTTAGTGCTGTGCAATGTCCAACAACGACATGGTCAATCCTCAGCTTACAGATGCTTTTGCTGCTGCTGCTGCTGCTGCTTTTTGTTGTGGCTGCTGCTCTGTGTGCGACATGGCCTGGTGTTTGCAGGAAGGGTGCGTGATTGTTGTGTATGACGAGGACGAGAGCGTTGCACCACGGGTGGCCACATCGCTCGTTCAGCATGGCATTGACAACCTGTTCATGCTGTCTGGAGGTGAGACACACGTACTGCCTGTGTTGCTCGCCGGATGGGATACACCTGTGCCCCATTCTGTTTGTCTTACTAACATCCATTGTATTGTCTCAACGTTCCTCGCCTTCCGCATTCGCATCTGCTGACGCGATCATGTACACACACACACACACACACACACACACACACACACACACACACACACACACACACACACACACACACACACACACACACACACACACACACATACACACACACACTCGCGGATGACTGCTTGGTGATCGTTGTTGCCGCCAGGGCTTCGCGTTCTGTCGCACAAGTTCCCTGATGGCCTCATTGTTGGCGACCTGCCGGCATCGTGTCGCCCGAAGAAAGGCGACATGGCCACGCACGCCCACCGCGTGGTTCTGGGCTCGCTCACACCAGATAACCTGGAAGTGGTGCGCCAGCAGCTGGAAACCAACCTCCTCGCAGACGATGGTTTGTGTCTGTTGTTGCTGTATTTAGTCTGTCTGCTTTCTTGACCTGCGTCATTTTGTTTGCTTGCTTGCTTGTTTGTGTCTGTGTCTGTGCCTTCCCCTCCGTTCTCACACTTCTCCCACCCCTTCGCCTCCACCGCTCGGCACACACTGACAGCTTCATCGACTGCAAGTTCGCGCACGAGCAGAACAACGTCGACAGCACGGCGAGGGGCGCCTGCGTCAAAGCCGGGAACGGCAGCATCCACACGCACCACCCGCAGCTCCCGAAGCACACGCACAACCCCGTCAAAAACAACGTGGAAGTGAGGGACATGTGCATGTGTGTGTAGCGCATGTGCATGTGTGTGTAGCGCATGTGCATGTGTGTGTGGCGCATGTGCATGTGTGTGTCTGTGTATGTCTGTTTGTCTGTCTGTTTGTCTGTCTCTGTCTGTGTAACTGTTGTTCAGGAGGAACTTCAACCCAAGTGTTTCAGCCCGTTCAGTGACCCTTGCTCGTTTCCACACACACACACACACACACACACGCGCGCGCGCGCGCGCACACACTCTCTCCCCTCCATCTCTTTGTTATTTTCCGCCCAAGTGCCCATGCATCTGGGTGTACCGATGCATGTGACATGTTCTGTTTGTGTTCCTACTGTGCATTGCTTCAGTTTGTGGTAATGTGTGAGACCACACAATACAGAAAGACTTTTCTGTCTACCTTGACTCAGCCTGGGGGGGGGGGCGAACAGCAAGAGGGGGCTGGGGTGTGGTGCAGGCGAGAACCGTTTGTGGTCAAACGCCGCAGCTGGCTGGCGGGCCAGCGAAACAAACCCAGGAGGGGCTCCCACAGCGGGTACTTGCACACGCAGGGTTCAGGCGACCGGTTGTGACGGTGATGCTGATGGTAGTTGGTGTACTGTGTCGAACCCAAGCAACAGAAACGCGCCGTGCACGCAAAGTACAAAAACAAAAACATGGGCACGACAGATCGAAGTGGAAGTAGAGAGACAACGACGGCGGCAGGGAGCCATAAGAAGCACGCAACAACGAGCAAAACAGCCACAAGACAAAACAAAAGGACAACCACAACGCTGAACAACAACGACAAAGAAGCCCGCTTAGTTCTTCTTGGCAGGAGAGGCACCAGAGGTACCGAGGCCAAAGGCGGTCTTGAAGGTATCGTAGATCCACCACTGGAGGCCGGTGAGGGTACCGATCATGATGATGCGAGGAACGATGCCCTTGAGGGCAAGGTTGCTGTAGCCAAACTCGGAAGCGATGGTGCCAATGCTCTTGCCCTTGTTGTCAGCCTTGCCAAGGAGCGAGACCATGGTGTCGGCAGGGTGGGAGACGATGGCGCAGATGACACCGGCAATGTAACCGGACATGAAGGTAACCTGGAGCTGGGTGGCCTTGCTGTAGGACTCGCGGGGCTGTGTGTAGACGTGTGTGTAGAAGACGGACACGACCTTCTCGAAGAAGAAGAACTTGGCCATGGTGTAAGGGATCTGACGGGACCAGAGAGGGATGAGGGAGCCAAAGGGGAAGCGCGTCTCAGCAGACTGCTTGGACATCTGGGAGGTGGCGGCGACGAGGCCAGTGGGGAAGGTGCCGGCGGGGGAGGTCTGGACCTTGACCTTGACCATCTCCATGGGGCAGAGGGCAATGTCGGCGAAGAACTCGGCAGAGGCGGAGGCACCGAGCCAGAGCAGGCCGCGGTACTCCTCGGCGGCCTCCTTGCCGACCATGTTGGCGTACAGATCCTTGAAAATCTCGTAGAAGCCAAACTTGCAGAAGCCCTGCATGGAGTAACCAATGAGGGTGGGAGCCCAGCCCTTGATCAGGGCGCCGGCACCCTCCTCGGCCATGATGGTACGCATGCCACCAAAGAGGCTGGGGTACTTCTGGGGGTTGACCTGCATGTTGCACTTGGTCACATCGAGCGGGGTGATGGCCGTGTGGGTGAGACCGCAGCTGAGAATGCCGCCGATCATGCACTTCATGTAGTACTCGTTGGTGTGGGGCACGGGGTGGTCCATGCGGGCATCCCACTTGGCCTCCTCAGCGGGGGCAGCGGCAACTGCGCGGCGCTGCTGCATGGACTGGATAAGCTCCTTGTACATCTGCGTTGGTTACAATATGGTGGTGGTGGTGGTGGTGGTGGTGTGCAACGAGGTGGAAGCGGCGAAAGCGTAAGTGATGAGTTGTGATTGGAAGCAGCGAAACGAGACAATGGAGAAATGAAAAAGGGAGAGTGGGAGAGTGAGAGAACGAGAGAGTGTCTGTGTGTGTGTGTGTGTGTGTGTTGTTGTTGTTGTTGTTGTTGTGGGCAGGCACGCACGCACGCAGGGGCGCAGAGAAGCAGACGCACACGCACGAGGAGCACACGTGGCAAAACGAACATCACGTCATCAACACCGTGGTTCTTCCCAGAACCCCGACATGACAACACACATGCGCGCACACACACACGCGCGCGCGCGCGTAACAAACACATGTTTCAAACTCACCATGGTTGCTGTGTGGTTGGCGGATGCGAGTGTGTCGAACCCTGACAATGTGTCGGGAACCCAGGCAGGGTGCAGATCAGTGGGTGAATCAAGAACTGTGGTGATGGCTGAATGGGTTGCTTGCAGTGATTGTGGTTTGGTGTGTGGTGTGTCAATCATGCCTGCCAACTCCTCTCCTTGTCTAACGAGCGGTGCAGGACACACACCGACAAACACCGACAAACACACCATCCGCTGCATGTTGTGTGTTGTGTGCAACACACTGAAACATACACACACCCACGCCAACAACCAAACCACTGCACCTCCAGCAGTGCAACTGCTATGCCCTTCATCTCCCTGTCTCTTCATCGGCTTACTCACTCTCACACACACACACACACACACTCTCTCTCTCTCTTTGAGTCTCCCCTGGCGCCTCCTCCAGCCCCCCTCTCCCCATGCACGCCACTCAACACCACCACCACTGCCACGCGCGTTGGCTCGCGGCCGGCTCGCTCACCTGGGTTTTTTTGCTTCTTCGATTTTGGCGTGTGTGAATGGCAGGAGGAGAGGAAGGCACGTGTGCGTGTGTTGTGCCCAGGGGGCGCTGTTCGTTGTGGGGCTTTTTTATTGTGGCGGGAAGGGTCGCCGAAACACAGGAAGATGTGGCAAAACGGCGGTCAGGTGACAGAAAATGGTGTTTTCCAACAAAGAGGAGGGCAGAAAACACGCAGCGGCGCCAAGTTCAAACGGCAGCACGACGAGGAACGCCAGTGGCGGACATGTCGCGTGGGAAGGACCGCTCAATGGTGAACTCGTGGTGCAGCTCGTTGCTCTCATCGGCAAACAGTTGCATCTGCGTTGATTGCGTATGTTCGTGGTGTGTGTGTGTGTGTGTGTGTGTGTGTGTGTGTGTGTGTGTGTGTGTGTGTGTGTGTGTGTGTGTGTGTGTGTGTGTGTGTGTGTGTGTGTGTGTGTGTGTAAGTGTGAGGGAACGAGGTGCTTGAGGGAAAACTGTGTGTCGCTTGAGTCAAATCTTGAAGTGCGGAAACAAGACAATCACACAAACACACACAACCACATACACGAACACGAACACGAAGAACGCACACAAACACACACACACACACGAACGCACACACGACACAAACATATCATACACACACACGTACGTGGAGGTGGGTGGCGTTGACGTCGATGGTGCTGTAACCCCATTCGTAGGCCTGGTACTCGGTCCAGGCGGCGCGCGTCTCCGGGATCTTGGTCAGGCCCATGCCGCCATTGCCAATGCACACGTGAATCGGGGCATCGTAGCCGCCTTGCTTCGACGGCTGCTGGCACGTCCCGTTGTTCACGGGGCACGTGCGCAGCGCGTTGTGCACGTGGCCAACAAGGATGAGGTCCACCTGGTGCTTCACCAGCAGAGGCTCCAGCACCTGGAAATGCGGATCAATGTGGCTGCCATCCTCAAGCACATAGTACATGGGGCGGTGACCTGTGTGTGTGTGTGTGTGTGTTGTGTTGTGTTGTGTTGTGTTGTGTTGTGTGAGCGTGTGTGAGCGTGTGTGTGTGTGTGGTTGTGTTGTGTGTGTGTTGTGTATGTGTGAGCATGTGTGCGTGTGTGTGTGTGTGTGTGTGGTTGTGTGTGTGTGTTGTGTTGTGTGGGCGTGTGTGTTGTGTGTGTTGTGTTGTGTGAGCGCGTGTGTGCGCGTGGTTTGGTGTGTGGTTGCGTGAGTTGAGCTGAGAAGAGAAAGCACACCAAAACACCAAAACGCCAAAGCGCAAAAACACCAAAACACCAAAACGCAAAAACACCAAACCACATCATCCCCAAGGTTCGGCTGCAAACATGGGCCGCCTGCATGTGTCCGTCCGTCACGCACCTCCAAAGACAATCCAAGGCGTGACGTTGCGGTCCACACTGGAGAGGTCCTTCTGAAAGAACTTGTACTGCTCACTGCCCGGGCCGCACTCAAGCTCCGTGTCCATCATCAAGAAGTGCACAGGGCCCATGTCAAACGAGTACCAGCCCTTTTGCTGGGGTTTGGATCGTGCATACGAACGTGTGTGTGTGTGTGTGTGTGTGTGTGTGTGTGTGTGTGTGTGTGTGTGTGTGTGTGTGTGTGTGTGTGTGAATGTGTGTGTGTGTATGTGTGAATGCGTGTGTATGGTTGAACGCGCGCGTGTGTCCACGCGTTTGAACGTGCGTGTCAAAAAACACAACCACACTCAGTGCGCAAAAACAGCAGAGCCGACACTTGACAGCGCGCACGAACCTGGTCGCCAGTTGGGGTGGGCATGGGGAAGCGGGTCACTGTGGGAATACCGCACTCACCACCAGAGTCAACCGAGTTGTAGTAAACTGCAGCAACATCCGTCCACAACCACGTGTGAGTGCGCTCAAACGAAACAAAAACACCCACCAACCAACCAAAACACGAACAAGACGCGACAAACGATATGCTGCACGCACACGACAAAAACCTACACAAAACACAAACACGCGCATACATACGTGTGAAAGCGCACCTTTGCCGGGGAAGTCTTGCTCGTGGTTTCCAAGCGCAGTCATCAGAGGTGTTGCTGCGGCAAGTGGGGAGGCTGTGCATGAAGAAAGCAACGCCACAGACGACAAAACAGAAGGATCTTGTGAGGATGAGACAAAAGGCACAGCACGCACACATACACACATATACACATATGCCATTGACAACACAGAAAAGCATGCCATGATGTGCTCGCACCTTGCGTCATGAACACATCCCACTTGGAGGCGTAGCCCGTGGCATCTGCAAGTCAAAGTAAACAAGGAGACAACAGGGCACCATCAGCAATGTGGAAGGAAAGAACCCGGCATAAGGACGGGCACAGCATTGCACACGCACACACGCACACACACGCACACATACACGCACACGCACACGCACACGCACACGCACACGCACACGCACAACGGACACGCACACGCACAACGGACACGCACAATGGACACGCACAACGGACACGCACAACGGACATGAGATGTCGCCAATGTGGAGGGCGAGATCGGCGGCGCCGTGCTCGCCCATGTGCATGTACGTCAGATTGGCGTCTGGGGTCTGCGCAGCACAAACCAGAAGTACAACAAAGTCGAAATGAAGCAAACAGGCAACATGGGGTGCACGGTGTTGGTGAGCTGCAAACGCAACAAAACAGGCCGACATCAAAGAAGATTACCATACTCATGCCCTGACTGTTTGCACACACACATACATACACACACACAGACAATGCGCACGCACGAAGCGGGCGGCCAGAGCACGTGAGTAGCGCACCTCCCAGTGGTAGTGACAGCCGTCGCGCTGGGCAGCACCGACGTCTGCGGTGGCGACAATGTGCAGTGACGCCTTGGCATCGGCAGGCTTGGCCGCCGTAAACGTCTGGTCCATCACAGTGTGTGTGTGTGCGTGTGTGTGTGTGTGTGTGTGTGTGTGTGTGTGTGTGTGTGTGTGTGTGTGTGTGTGTGTGTGTGTGCATGAGCAAGAAGGGCCAAGCAAAACCAATAGCGTTTGAGATGAGTGTGTTGTTCTCACCAGACTCGCATGGGACACAAATGCACACATGTATACACACACAATGACTCACGTGCACGGTGGACCAGGTGTTGTTGCTGAAGCACTGGTACCAGACGACAGACTTGCCTGGCTTCAAACCCTACACAGTGGCAACAACAAACAAACCATGAAAACAAGCATGATACACGTGAGAGGGATGCCTCGTCAGTGCACGTCGCCCCTATATCCTCTTGTGCCCACTCACTGCCCCATGCCAGAACACCTCACGCTCCCACCTCCTCCTCTCTCTCCCTCCTGTTTGCTCGCCGTCTCATTGTGGCTGTTGGTTCCTTGCTTCCCCAACCGGCAGCGCACACAGACAGAGCGCACACAGACAGAGCACACACAGACAGAGCACACACACCTTGATGATGGCGGTGTGGAAGTAACCTGGGTCACGCCAGCCCTGAGTGGTGGCGGGGGCACCGCACAGGTCATCCCTGGTGTATGTCGTCGTGTTTGCGTCAATGGTGTGCACCTTGGACTGGCCGTTGATACCATAGCGCAGCTTGGCCCCCGTGCCACTGGCAGAGTTCCATGTCACGCGCATCTCTGTTGGGTCGCCCGTCAGCGCAGTGACAATCTGCTTGGGCACCTCTGTGTCGTTAAAGGAGATGCTCGAGGTCCTGTTCATATTGGACACGGTGGGAGGGGGCAGGGAAGGAATGAATGGAGGGGAATGAATGGAGGGGAACAACAGTGGTCATCCGTGGGGGCAAGACACCATTATTCCCGCCACGCACTTTGCGATGGCACGTGGTTTGTCGATGCCGCCAAAGAGGAGCCAGAACACGACATCGTCGCGCATGTTGATCAGGTTGAAGCGGTACGAGCCGCTACCGGTCGAGTAGAAGTCAGGGGCTAATCGATTCGTCCATAACATAATCCATGACAAGCAGTTGGGGTAAGGAACATGAGCACGTGGAGACAAGCCCGGGATGCAAACGCACGCAGCATCAACTGGATGTACTGGCCCTTGAGACTGCAGAAGGACAACAACGCCCACCCTCCACTGCGTGACACGCCGTTATGAACCAACACCAGAACAACAACAACAAGCGCCACGACTTACAAACTTTGCAGTACTGGTACTTGACCGTGGCGGTGGCTGTCCAAGGGGCGGTTGCAGGGTAGTCCATGGGCGGGATGGCGCTCACGTTTGCACTGGGCGAGTACACGCCAATCCAGCAGCCATCACGCTCCTCTGTTGGCACGCCGCTCCACGAGACCTTTGAAACCACAACCACAACAGGCACACATGACGACATCGGTGGTGGGTCGGGGTGCAAGCCAGTGTGTGTGTGTGTGTGTGTGTGTGTGTGTGTGTGTGTGTGTGTGTGTGTGTGTGTGTGTGTGTGTGTGTGTGTGTGTGTGTGTGTGTGTGTGTGTGTGTGTGTGT